CAGAAAACCAGTTGTGAGGTTTCACAAATCCCTTGAGAGAAAATTTTTCAATGGTAACACAAGTAAAAGTGATTGTAATTGATGATCATTTCCATTTAATTTTTCTTTAAAAATTTGACATTATTTACGTAATTTTTTTTAAATATGAAATATTTTTGGCAAACAAATAAAAAAAAAAAAACATTTAATGTAGTCAATGCTTTTGCACATAAAAATTTAAAGAAAATGAAAAAGAAAACAATTTTTTTTTTCCCGGAACTGAATAATAAAATTGATTAAAATTAATTGGTGTATTAAAAATATTAAAATTTAAAATATTTTTTCTTTTTCTTGTTATTGTAAAGACTTTTCTTAGGTAATATTTTTTCACACGCCCGCTCTACTAACCATTATACACTTTTATTTTTGTATACTACAATTGACAAATTGCCAAAAATATTTTTTGACACTCGGCTCATTATTAGTCCTTGATTTTATTTATTTATTTATTTTTGTTTTTCAATTTTCTTTTTGTTTTTATTTTTTTGTACTTTTGAAAGCTACATAAACAACAAATAGATTTTATTTTCGATATTTAAAATAAATTATTTTTAATATGTATAGTATTTTTTTAAAAATTGAATATGGGATATAGTATAGAAGAGTAATTATAATATATGTTTGTTTGCTTGTATGTTTGTATATAATAGCCCCAATGTGAGGCCAATTTCATTATTAATTATATGGGATTCTAAAAGTTTAACTATATATTTTTTTTTGTTTTTTTAAATTTTGTAAAAATTTTTGTGTATTTGGTGTTTAATTTGTTTTATTTGTTTTGTTACTTTATATATTTGAGTAAATTAGAACCTATAGCAATTTCGACCATGAACATTCATATATAATGTACTATTTTTTCTTACAGCATCTTATAGAAATTTAGTAAATCTTTGAAAGATATCTTTAATAGAATTCTTGTTACTATGGAATATTGTTACTATGAGATCCGATGCAGCTAAAATAACGTTCATAAAAATCACATATTTTGTGTCATTTTGTGTCATATCATTGCTGTAAAATTTGTGTATTTACAATAATAAGGTTGTAAAACTTATTTTGCTTATCTTATAAATATTTCAAAATTTTCATGTTCTAGTTACGAATAATAATATTTGCAATTATTAATCTTTTATTAATATTTGATTTTCTTATATTTAGTAAAACATAGTTCATAATATTATTATTAATAAATCAACATATCATGTTGATTTGTTATTGATGGAAAATTTAATAAAAATTTTCACGAAATTCCTGTAAATTTTTACAAAAGAAGTATTAATAATTTTGAGTTTTATTGGAAGAAAAGAGAAATTAAAAGAGGAATTAATGAAAATAACACAAATTTTTGCAAATACAAATGTAAAATTTTGTAAAAATTTATTTTCTGCCACAATTGCTGTTTTTGTGCTATAATGTTATTTTTATGAAGTTCATGCAAATTGTTAAAATAAATGTCAAATGTCAAATTTGTTTTATAAATCTATTTTTTTTTAAGAAACAATTCTAAATTACTTCTTCGCTTTCTTTTTATGTTTTGAAATTTAAAGCAGGTGTAGACAACATAACATATTCATTTTCGATTCAATAATATTACAATAAATCTGTCAAAAATATCAAATTCTTTTAATTTTATTCCATTTTCCTATATGTAATGAATTACATTATAAACTAAATTACTAAATTTGTAGCTCCCCCCCACTCTATTAAAAATAAATTTAAGAAATTTACTTGTCAATTTGCCGTCAGTTCAAAAAGTTCATATTGAGTGTAAATTGACCTTGAATATAGTGGCAAAAAATAAAAAAATAAATAAGAAAAAAAGAGTTTTTCTTAATTTTTTTTTTAGTTTCTCAAAACTATATAGTAGCACACACATACGTATTAAATATTATGTACATACATTTTTTTTGTTATATTTCAACTTTACGCTGCTCAAAATTTATTTTTTTATACTTTGTTTTTAACTTTTATTATGTTTTTTTTTTTTTTTTGTTATATTTGAACTTAATCAAAGCATAAAAATTTCCAAGACAATAAAATGTAAGTATGTATGTACTTATGTATTGTCATCGGCTAACAAAAAATGAGAGAATACAAAAGATATCATGTGGGAATTTATTTAGTTATTTATTTATTTATTAAATTGTTATAGCTTTCTCACTTATTTTTTTCTCAATTCAGTTTTTTAAGCAAAAAACGAGCAAAAAACATTAAAAAAAATTAAATGTTTTTTATTTTAATACTATCTTGATTACTATATGAATTTTAAAAACTCGTATAATGAAAATGTGCTCGTATGTAGATCGTAAAAGTTATTGGAAAATGTTCAAAACATTTTATGAATATTTTTTTTTTTTTAAAAGCGTTGGCGTGCTTGCGCTGATTCATTGAATAATTCCATATAATAAAAAAAAAAATTTCCTATACAAATTTTATTCATTTAAAATATCAAAAATAAATAAACAATTTAAATTAATATATTAAAATTATCCTAGACAATATAAAATTTTTATAAAAATATATGATTGATTCCTATATTAACTATAATAACATTAATATTAATTACATTTTCACAATTACTTACATTTTCCATAATTGCGAATTGCCATTGAAAGGCGAAATTGAGTACTCAACCTGCAAATATAAAATAATATAAAGTTTGATATTCTTATAGAGTTTGATATATTGATAAATATTCCATAGATTTAAAGAAATTAAAAACTATAATATTCAGATACATATTATGTTTTAGTATATATTAAGGTTTTAAATACTTTTCTATCAAAATTTAATTTAATGTTCGATAATAAATAGGATAAAAAATGTGCCTATTTAATATCGAACATATACGAATTTTGATAACACAATTAAATTCAAATATAATTTGTCAGATTTCTTTTTGAACTGATTATTATATAGTGAACTAAAAATTATTTATTCGGTAAGAAATATTTCAAAAGAACGCCTACATTATATATATTTAATAAAAACAAAAATATATAGGCAGAAAAAAAATTTCATATAAAAAGAAAAACAAACCAAAAGATGGCGCATAAATCGAACATAAAAAAAAAAAGTAAAAATATCATGTTATTGTTATAAAAAAAAATTTGAATTATTTAAAATGTAAAATAAAATAAAGTAGGATCAATGCCAATTGATTAACCAGGTTGGTACAGAAGCACCTTTCCTTTAAACAAGTAAAAATTCTGCTTTCAATATGACGGTCTACTTCTACTCCTACTACATTATTGTTATTTAAATTACTTTTATTCTTGTACCAAAATTTATATATCAACTAAATGCATACATTTAGGATGTTGGACATTTAGGACAAAAAATAATTGAAAGAGGTGTAAGCATAATGCTCGAGTTCAATGCTTAGTTATATATTTTGATAACATATCATTTACAGTTTTCTTTTCGTTTTACAAAAAAATTTGGAAAAGCTCGCAGTATCGGCCAAAAAATTTTTATAGGCGATGATTTAAGAGAAAGTGAAGATGGAAAAATATTTTCTCCTACCGATATAAACTTTACTCATTATTATTTAAATATTTATTGTGTCTAAAGTTTCAGTTTCACATCTCAAAGGGTGTAGAAGTTTTGTAAACAGATACACAGTGAGACGGACGAACGAACCGACACAATGAAATTAATAAACACTTTTTTTAACTTTTTTTTTTACAAAAACAAGAAGAACGGCCAAAAAATTAGTTCTTACCATTTAAATAGTTTAACCGCATAGACTTATAAGCTTTTATATTGCCGGAATATAAATGAGAAAGAACAAAAAGAAATGCCTGAAAAAAAAATTATTTTTAAAAATTTGTTAAAATTTAATTATTATTTTCACACATAATTCTATATACTAACATAATATATAGAATTGAATACATTTCTTTTTAATTTAACACTTTTAAGTATATAACAAAGAAAAATTAAATCACACCTATTATGGCCAAGATTATTATTGTTTATAACCTTAAAAAAGAATTTACTTGTATACAATAATTAATTATATATTAATAAAATAATATTTTTATTAAAATATTATGAGTAATTTTTAAATAATTAATTAATGTATGTTAATTTAATTTAATGATCATATATTTGGATAGTTTATTTTGAAAGTGACCTAATTGCAAATGTCAAAAATCTTATGTGATCGAACGCGGTAATTTTTGTTACTTCAACTCAAACGGAGCAAAATTTAATTTTTAATTTATAGGTCATTTTCATTTGATTACATTAGGTAAGTTTCAAAATAAACCATCCATATTCATCTTAGACTGAATTTTGAAGCTCAGTTAACAATGAATTAGTCACGAATGTCATAATAAGATAACAATTAATTCTGTGGTTTCCATTAATAAACGCTTAAACCGAAATTGAAAATTTTTAGCCTATATAATATTCTTTAATCTGAACTAGTTCCGAATGAAAGTATAAAAAATATTTGTAACTTTTTTAATCTAAATTGGTTAATTTGTGAATTAAATGGGGTCCAACTATTAGATTGATAATACTTCAAATTCATAATGAAAGAAAACAAACTTGTAGTGTTCTTATTCTGATCCCAAAAATCGCAATTACCTTTAAACAATCCATGACATTTTAGAGCGAATCTCAGATATTATCATAATTTTTTGAAACCAAGTTAGCAAAATCCAAAAAAATTTCATATTAAATTAATAACTGTAAAAATGCTTAAGATCACTTGATAAATTCATTAATGAAAACTCATTAAATATTATTGAAATGTTATAATAATTAATTCGTTAATGAAAAAATTGAATTAAAATTAAATTAAAAACGCGTGCACATATCTATTATATAAAATTGTTATATTTTCTTATATACTTTATAATTCTTTATAAATAGTTTATTATTAAATTTGTTATATCATAAATAAATTGTTATATTCATAACATTTTATATATTTTCTTTTATATTTACAGATAAATCAATTAAGGCTTTAAATTTAAAATTAAATTATTAAAAGAAAATTTAAGATATTAAAAAAATAATTAAAATATCATTATACAACGATTTTGAAAGAAAAAATTCGCCGAAAAGAAAATACCAAAACAAGAGAAAAATATAAATTTAAATTATTTTTAAAGAAATTAAATAATTTTTTTTTAAACTAAAATCACAAATCCTATTATCATAATATTAATATTTATAATTAATTTATTAAAGATTGAACAAAAAAGAAAATTCATATATAGATTATCATTAATTTTATAAAATCATTAACCAAAAATCAAATTTAATTTTAAAATTCTAATCAAGCAAATAATCACTAACTCTCTAAATAGAAAACTCTCATATATAATAATTATAATTTTATAGAAAAAATACATAAAATAAAATTAATAAAAAAAAACATAATTATAATTTATAAAATTTCTTTTATCTCAAATTGTGATATTTTAAAACCAATAAAAGATATTTTACAAGTGAAATTATTAAAAAAGAAAAAAATTTAAAATTTAAAAAAAAAAAACTCAGTTTTAAGTGTTAACTTTAATAAAAAAAAAATTAAAAATAAACAAAGAAAAAAAAAATAATAGTTTTTTTTTTCAACTGATGTAAATATTTATTTTTTTTATTTATTCTGTTTTCTATGTATATATCCAATTGGATTTTTGTGCTTTAATAAATAAATAATAATTATTATAAATAGAAATATTAAAAATATTAGAATATCATTAATAATTTAAAAAAAAAACAAAATGGCGGAACAAGTTGCTGTACAAAATGGTCCACAACAACAATCACAACTTCCAACAACACATAGTACACCACAATCAAATACAACAAACAGTAATAGCAATAATAACAATAATAATAGTAATAATGATATTAATACAAAAAATAAAAAACGTTCACCAGAAATTCAATTAACCGGAGTTGGTGGCGCTGGTACAGTTTTAATGCGTGAAAGAAGTTTTGTCAAAAGTAGTAATGTAAGTTATTTATTTAAAATATATGTAATTTTTTTTTTTATATTTCTATTAATATGATCGAATTTTTCGTCTTTAATATTAAAATCGGCTAGTATAGAATAGGAAATATGGTACTTCGGTATCAGAAAATTCTGCCAATATCGCATGATTTAGCTCAACCTACTTTCAATATTCTATGCTTTATTTATAAGTACTTCCCATGTGATTTCTGGTACTTGACTACTAGTTATATTACAATTTAAAATATTTAATCAAAACTTCCTTAAATGCTTTACACTACGGCAAAGAAAACCAACTCCTCAAATGTAAACAAACTATTGCCTAATAAAATTAGGAATGTATACACGAACTGAGACAAGTAAATGTTTGCGAGCTTTGCGAGCTTTCACATACTTTGTGGACTATTGATCGTACATAAGTTATCCGTATTGAAAGTGGTTACCATAATTATATTAAAAGTGCGTGTAATTAATAGTGCGATGTAGGCTGATTTTCCCATGCCAAAGTTCTATATTTCCTGCAAAAGCTCATACATGGGCCTGAAATGGTCAGGAAAAATAATATAACAAGATGAGTCATAAAGTTTACAATTAGAGTCAAAGGAAAAATTCGATTTATAAATAAATTTTCAATTAAAATCTTGTATATCTTCTTATTTATTTTAAACTTCTTCCGTCTAAGTCTTCTGTTGTCTTAATTTATTTACATGTTCATTTTTATTATAAAATTGTATTAAAATATATTTTATTTATATAGAATGCAAATAAAAGACGAAGTTTAGCTTTCCATCCACAACAAAATCAAATTAGAGGTGGTAAACCGACTATGGAAATTTATAGACCACCAAGTAAGTTAATTGTGTATAAAATGTTATTTTATTTAATTTTCATTATAAAGCTATTTTATATTTCATTTTGTTTTTATTTTTAAGTTTTCTAAACCCTTATTTTGTTTTTATTTTGTTTAAATACTTTTATATTATATAGTTGAAATATACTTTTATATCTATATATATTTTATAATTATATTTAAGATAAACAAATGCCCATATGACTTCCGGCTCAACTCAATATCCTCTGTCCCATTTCATAAAAAAAATGATGATTGTAAATTGCAATGAATATTACAGATTAATTTAAATGTGAAAATAGAATAGTTTCTAAACTATGTATACATGTTTAATTTGTATGTTATATTCAAAAATGAATTTGCAAGTCAAACCAAGCCATTCATTAGTAATAATTAATAAATATTGAATATAAAGATGTCAAATTTTAATTTTCATAAAAATTCTTGCATATTCTTCTAAATTTCTTCAAATTTCTTAATTATCAAAATTTTATTTTTAAAACTATTAAAACTTGAAGCAAAAACCTGAAATATATTTAAGCTGTTCATGGAAAAACTTCTTTCTCCATTACTCTAAATTTGAAGAACTTCATATAAATTTAAAAAAATCAATTTTTCAATTAAAGTTTGCCGAAAATTCGAAAAAATTACCTCATTTTCAACGTTAAAGAATTTTATTTACTCACATTAATATTATTAATATAACTATTATATTTATAAATAATATATGTATGAATTTATATATATGTATGTATGTTTTATGTTGTACTTTAAAAAATTTTCTTTTTTCTTTTTTGTATTTTTTGTATCTTTTTTTTTATGTTTAACTCCATTTTATTTAAACTATTCAAAACTGTAAACAAAAATTGTCCGCTTATCAAATCTATAACACAAAACTGTACTATTTTACTTCTATGTTCTGTATTGTATGTGTTATACTGCTTCATAAAAATACATAATTTAAACTGTTATACAATACAAAACAAAACAAAAAAAAATTAAAAATTTTAAAACACATTTTTGAAATTTTTTTTATTTTTGTTATAAATTTCAAACATACCGTACTTGTCATTAAAATTTCAAATTTAAAAAAATATATATACATATCTTTTAAATGTATTTAAATAAACACACACACATAAATAATCAAACCATATACAAAAAAAAAAAAAAAAAAAACAACAATAATACTATTATGTAAGACGTCCGACTCGATGGTAATTCCTTAAAAAAATTGAATGTTCATGCCCAGGAATTCACCATGAATTCATCAACTACATCATCATCATTAAATACTCGGTAAATTATTATATTAAATAGAATTTTGAAAATTGAGTTGCGTATTTTTTTTTTTGGCTCCGCTTTATTTACAGAATTAAACTACAACTTACAACATTCTTCCAGTTCATCTATAATATTCCCGTCACCGGGTAATCATCTAATACAACATTCAAAATCTGGTGCTAATATACAACAAATGCATCATCATTTAGCAGCTGCAGCTGTTTTACAGCAACAACAACAACAGCAACAGCAGCAACAAAGATTTTCCACTGGTGGTCAAACAATATCGGCAACAGCAAATTTTGGTAATTTAGGACAGCGTGCAATATTAGTATCACATCCAATACCAATGTCACCTGTTGCAGCAACATTACAACAAACACAATTTCCAATTGTTAATTCACAAACAAATGGAAATGTTTTACATGTAAGTAAATCAAAAGTAATTTTAAAATTTATGGTAATGCTAAATATTTTCTAAATAACATTTTCATATTTTAACTTCTAAATATTATACAAAAATCTGTAATATTTTTATTTATATTGTCTTTTTTTTTTCAAGGCTCATCATCGGGTTAAATTTGCTCCTGAACCACAAATAAGTAAAGTACCAAATCATCAAAATAATAATTTAATAATGAATCAAAATCATCAAAATTATTATGCATTAAATAATGCTGCTGCCTATCAATATAATGCAAATAGTACTGCTGGTATTTTACCACAACTTCAACGTTCTAAATCATTATCATCAGCTGATGCATTAACACGCGGTATTGCTACATTAGGTTTAGGTGTTGCAAATGAAACAAATGATATTGGACAATTTGCACCAGATATCCAACAATTAATTGATAAAGCATTACAAGATCCAAATAAATTAAGTGCAAGAAATTTAATGGAATTAGCAATACAGGTTATGCAAAGAGCTGTAGAAGGTAGACGTTATGCATTACCAATATCAAGATTATGTATACAAATTATATCAAAAGAAGCAAAAGAAACATTTTTAGAAGCATTACTTAATACATGCCGTCAATGGTATCAAGAAAGAGAAAAGGTTAATAATAAAATTCAATCAAAAGTTTATAATTCATTATTTTTAATATTTTTTTTTTAGATATTGTATCCCGGACAGAGTATGAAAAATTCATCTCGTTCACGTTTTACGGCTTTTATGGCATTTCTAACCGAAATGTTTTGTCAATTGAAACGTCGTCAATTACAATTACGAACACAATGTGATGGAGCTCCACCACCTTTAGTATTGTTAACATTATTATCGAAATGCTGTGAAGATTGTGTAAAACCACCTGTTCGATCGCTATCAGAGGTGAATAATATAATTAAATAAGTTTATTTTCAAAAAATAATTTTCTTCTCCAAATTATTGTGTAAGTTATAACACCGTTACTTTAAAATTTCTGTAATACAATTTAGCAATTACAACTCATTACAAGCTGAATTATGTATATTAATACCGTATAACTGAAATTTTTAAGTTCTAAAGTATTTGTTTTGAGAATTTTCAAATTGTAATGTAGTTTTCTTTTATGGTCTCAAACAGACATTTAATTTTTGATTTTGCCACTGTTTGATTGCTTATCTTTATTCCAGATGACCATATTCAAGCGGGCACACATGCAACTGTATGTATGCGATTGAGTAATCAAACAGTTTGTAACTTTTTATAAACTGATTTCAATTTTTTGTTAACGTAATCGATCTTAAAATCAAAGAGTAATTGCAAAACTAAAAATTACATGTTTGTCCGGAACCCTATTTTTATCACAATTTTTACCGTATAATCGCCTCAAATATTCACATTATATTTTTAATTTTGAACTAAAGCTTAATTTAAATTTATTACAAAACTTTAGTTTAATTTTCAAATATTTATTTTAATGGAATTGGGTTACCATTTATTAAAACTAGAAATAATGCAATTTTATTGGGTAATTAATTTAATTTTTGTATTTTCATATTTTCGTTTTAGATCGAATGTTTATTCTTTGTTTTAACATGCATTGGACGTGATTTAGAAATTCATTTATCACAACAACTTGAAACATTATTATCATTAGTACGTGATGCATTTTTAAATGCTAGTGCATCAGCTCCAGCAATACGTCGTACACTTTTACAATTAATTGAATTGCATGCGTCCAGATGGCAATTACCAGGAAATACTGTACTTTATTATTATCCTTCAACAAAGTAAAACATAATTTTTTTTGTCTTTTTTTTTACTAAAATGGTAAAATTTCTTATGGAGATCCAGTGTCGCATTATATAAGGAAGACAAAGTTGCTATTTAAATTACAATACATTTGATTAAGCAGGTGTATAAGTTTTGAGAGGAGAAAGAAAAAAGTGATTTTGTTACCGTCATCAAAAAAAAAAATGGAAAAATACATAAAATGAAAAACAACTGTATATGAAATAAAATATATAAGAAGAAAAAAAATATCTAAATTTTTGTTAAAATTTAAATTTAGCATTTATTTTTAAGAGAGGCAGAAAATGTTTTGTTTTTAATGATTTTTTTTTTATTTAATTTTTTTTTTATATATTTGATCAATTTAAAATGTGTCATATTATTTATAATTCCCTTTTACCCCTTATGTAATATTATTATTTTTTTATATTTCATATTATTTTATATAATTTTGATCATTTTATGAATAATTAAGAAAAATGTATAAATAAAAATTTTAAACAATCCAATTTATTTATTAAACTAAAATAATTCAAATTGTGGTCTTTAAAAACAAATAAAGAAAAAGAAACAAAAATGTAATTTGTACACTTTTAATGTAAAGAAATTTGTAGAGATACTGCCATACATTTAATTATATTTCACTATTATCATGTATACTTTAAATTAAAAGTTTCGATATGCAATATAGAACTATAAATTTTGTATATTATTAATAATTCTAATCGAATTATCGTTGATAATCTTGATTTCTATAATGTACAAAAAAAAAATGTTTGATACCGATTTTAAATATAGTATCCGAAATCTAAATTGCAGCTTAAAATTTTTCAACAACAAAGTTTCCGATTGCATACTGGATATTAAAAACTGAATTTATATTTAATAGATAGTATAGATAGATTTCAAAATTGCAGCAATATGGTATTATTACACAATTTAGCTTAAGAATTGTAACTGCTGAATTGTGTATAACAATGCAGTATTAAAGCAATTTTCATTTTATGGATACAATGTAGAATTTCAAATTTCATATGGTGAAAATTTCATATTCTATTTTTTACAATATAGAATTGAAAATATTTGAAGATACATAATAAATTGTGTTAAAATATATAAATTATTTGATATATTGCAAATGTATGATAAGGATCTTATAATCTTATATTTTGTTCTCTTTTTAAATTCAAAGTAAATTACAAGAGAAATTCCCATATTTAATATTAACATGTTTATATTCATTATCTTTAATTTAAATATTTCAATTAAATGTACTAATAATTTATTTGTTCATTATTTATTATAATATTTAACACTTTTTCTCTTAATTAATTTCTATAAAATTGTGATAAAAACATACTTTTTTTTTGTTGATCTACAATACATTAAATACTATGTGCATACTTTATTATTTATTTAATTTCTTATTTAATTTCTTATTTCTATTTTTTAAATCAGAAATATTGTAATTTACCAAAAAATTTATTGAAATGCTATGGTAATTTAATAATAATATGATCACAACTCTTAACTAGTCATAATTAACAATCTTTTTTTAATATTATTTTTAAACTATACATACAATAAACACCCTAAAAGATTTTAAATAAAACAAAATTTAAAAAAATGTTATTCAGGAATTCTAATATTTTAATATTATCCAAATTGTCTGTTTATTATAAAGTTTTGTAAAGATAAAAATTATCTATATTAAAACTAACATGTGCCAAATATAATTTTTAATACTATAAACTACATAATATCAACAATAATTAATTCAATTTTAAATTTTTGATATAATTTGTATCAAAAAATAATTAATGAATTAAATAAAATATAAGTATATACATTTACATAAATATGTATACAAATTATTTGTATTTATGATGCCCACAAAATATATTATGTAAAAAAAAAAATAAATAAATACACTGGCCAGTGGAAATTCAATTGCATTTTATATTAAATGAAAATATTTAAGGATATTCAAAGGTATTAATAGGGATTTTACAGAAAGGAATCACCACACGACACTGTTAAACACTCATACAAAAAGAATAATAAAATTATGAATAATGAGCATGCCTATGCTTGGTCATAAATGTAAGTCAAAAAATAACAATAATATGCCAATATATTAAGCAAAAGGAGTAATTTTGAATCGATAGTTTCAGGCGAAAGATGTAATTTAAGTTTCAGCGAAAAGTTGCAGCTTATGGAACGAAAAGTTGCAGCTTATGGTAGATATCATTCCATAACAATAATTCAAACCATAACTATACATAGATAACAAATGTCAACTAAATAGGCACATCTGGAGCTTATATTGAGTACTTATATGAATTGATTTGTTTTTTGCAATAAGAATATCAAGTTTTTTAATATAAACACCTTGTTTTATTTGATTTTCTTGCGAAAATTTCAATTGCAAACAATTCTATATACTTTTTGATTAAAAATTGATTACGTAATATTAAAAACTTATTGCAAAAATTTGTTGTATGTATTTTTTAAAAAATTAAAATCAGTAACAGAACATATAATAAAATTTACATACCTCACTCTGAAAAGGATTGACCAATTTTAATATCAATTTTCCACGAAAAAATTGGGAGCCGTTTGCTATTTGCTGTTGTAAATGCATATAAAGATGTAAATATGTATACGTTAATGTAAATACTCCTTACAATTGCCTCCTTGTGTGGATGGGACTGTAGGACAGAATGTTATACTAATATCTGGAATGCTCTTAACTGAAGCAAGTTTAACAGCATACAGATTTCTTGTAAATTTTTAAAATGTCTTTGTTTGGAATACCGTTTAAATAGAATATTTAATATTGCAAATTCACACATACTAGTACCAATTCGAAATCTTCATGTTTTTAATTGAATCTTGATATTTTCGATATTTTTATGAGCTTCATATTCAAATTGCTTCTGCATTCTGTAATACTATTCCGATTTAGAACCATCTCCAATTAAAGTAATCATGATATTCATCGTTAGCTCAATATCAAAAATCCCTTGTTAAAGATTTATCCAAAACTTGATTATGTTAAAGTTTTAATAGATTTTATACTATTAATTAAAAAGTTACTTAAAATAGTATTTCCAAGACAATTATTTTAAATTTAACAAAAAATTTATTGAGCACAATTTCAAATCATTTTGATGTACATATTTTGTGTGAAAATTTGAAATTTTTATAATTTTATTAATTTAGCGTACGTACTAGATTAGTAGGCTTCATACATTTATTTTAAAAGTAGCGCGAAACTTTTTTATCGTTAATTTTATTATTAGTACATATGAATGTGTTTAGTACATATGATATGTACTAAAACCACACACCGTTCTTGTCAAAAAAAGTATCAAGTAAAATGTGGCAAGAAAAATCCACTCAGTTTCATATTTTTTGTCGTTTTTTTTTATTTTAAAAATGATGAACTAATTTTTTTTTTTAATTTAAAAAAAATAAAATGTTTATCACTTGATGTATCAAAAAGTTACTTAATAAAATTTTTTAAAATCATTTTCGCATATTGTTGCATTTTAGCAAGCAACTTGTGGTTGTTCCAAACTTTTTTCTCTAACCACAAATTATCGTTAAATGAAAACGTAGTGTGTATGTATTTCTATCATTTTGACATTTTTATTTTGACATTAACATAAATTAATGTAATTTTCCCACGCTTCATACATTGTCATTTTTCTACTGTATGAAGTTGTGCAAGTTTTCTTCTGGAATAAATTCATCTTAAAATTATTAAAAAAAAAATCAAGAAAATTTATATAAAATTATAAACTATAGAAATTTGTATTTTTTATCCATATTTTTTATTTTGTTTATACTTATTACATTGCATTAATTGTATATAAAACGAAGAAAGTGAGACTGATTTGCTAAGTATCCATTTTACATTTGACAAAAGTAAATCGGAATTAGAAAAAGCTTTGAAACTAAGAAAAAATGTCGTCGTTATTGAACGATTTGAGACAATTTCGTTTACAAAAGAATAAAATGCCTTCTGGTGATGATAAAGATTCAGAATCTAACTCGAAGCCTGGTAAGTATAAGAAAGAATGATTGGAAATTTTGTTTGTAGTTGTAAAGTTTCTTAAAAGCGATCGAATGCATACCGAATCGCTAGTTTTTAGTGAAAAATACCTTAAAACATAATTTAGTATCAAGTTGCATTATGTTTTATATTATAAGAATCAGCTGTTTTCGTGCATCATACCTTGTGAAACATTTTTTAAGTCTTTTTTTTTCTTTTTTTTTAAACAAACCCGTATTTAAAGGGAAGGGGTTAAATATAAATCTTTAGGACATTGTGAAATTAATTCAGATATTTTTTTTTTGAATTTCCAACAGGCTGAACTGATTGATTTTATATTATTTTTTTTTTTTAGAATTAGTTCCTGGAAGAAAACGAGTTCAAACACTTCCTTCAAGTGATAGCGAAGATCATGATACTCCACAAAAAGTAATAAAAATTCAGTTAACGACCAATGAGAAGGAAAAAAGATTTTTAGCTGCTTTAAAATTGGCTCCTGACTATGATACAATGGATTTGCAGGATGCTTTAGTGCGTAATAATTGGGATGTTTCTGCTGCTATAAAATATCTTAAAGAACATTATCCAAAAAAAGGGAACCGAACTACAAATGGTGTTTCAAATCATACAAAAAAAATAAAAAGAAAGCGTCCTTCATATTTTTCGGATGACGACGATGATGATGATGACAGCGATGGAAACAATATGGCCCGACAAGATAACCGCGTATACGATAGCGACAGTGACAGTGACATTGAAGTCACACGAAGTATGTCTTCATCAAGGAAAGCTGTTTTTGAGTTTATGAATAAGGCTTCAGTTATTGAACTATTATGTGTAAAATCTTTGTCAGAAAAAAAAGCTAACGCTATAATAGAGTTACGTCCATTTGAGAATTGGGAAGATTTAGCTAGAAAACTTGAAAATTCGAAATCTCTTTCTGGTGACATTTTGAATAATACACAGGAATTGTTATTAAAACAAAATAATGTCGCTGCAATCATGGAAAAATGTAACAAAATGGTTAAAAATTTGGAAGGGGCTATTTCTGAAGGATGCGGTATTACAGAGCAACCAAAATCACTCAATCCGGCGTATGAAAAAAGATGAAATGAAATTTTTATATTATTAAAAGAGTTTTTAATTTTTAGATTCAAATTAGCAGATTATCAACTAATTGGTTTGAATTGGTTAGCTGTAATGCATAAGCTTAAAATGAATGGAATTTTGGCGGATGAAATGGGATTAGGAAAAACAATTCAAGTTATTGCATTTTTGGCGTATTTAAAGGAGAATAATTTAGCAAAACATGCCCATTTGGTTGTAGTTCCATCATCAACTTTAGACAATTGGGAACAAGAATTTAAAAAGTGGGCCCCGGACTTAGTCTTAGAAAAATACTATGGCAACCAAGAAGAACGTCGCGCAATGAGAGCAAAATTCGTTAATGCAGGTTTTACTGGTTTTGATGTACTTCTAACTACGTAAGTTTAATAATTTTGTTATATTATACGAACCATGAAATACCTTGTCGTGTTACAGATATCATATGGTTCAATCAGGTCCAGAAGAACAAAAAATGTTTAAAATTTGTAAGTTACACTATGTAATATTTGATGAAGCCCATATGTTGAAAAATATGACAACGCAACGATATTCGCAATTAATAAATATAAATGCTGAAATGAGAATATTGTTGACAGGAACCCCGTTGCAAAATAACTTGCTTGAATTAATGTCGTTATTATGTTTTGTAATGCCCTCATTTTTTGCCAAAAATAAAGAAGATATAAAAAGTTTATTCAGTAATAAGGTAAAGCATTTGATTTATAAATATTTTCATTTAAATAGTATTTATTAATTATAGCAAAAAGTTAAAACTGATGAACAAAAAACCAACACATTTGAAACAACTCAGGTTGAGAAAGCAAAAAGCATAATGAAGCCATTTGTTTTGAGGCGAGTTAAGGCTGATGTACTAAAAAATTTACCGACCAAAACGGAACATGTTGTAAGTAATTAAATACCTCTAAATGATGAAAGAGAATAATATTTGATTTTCATTTTTAGAAAAAAGTACCTATGACTGAAACTCAAAGCGTTCAATACCAACAGTTATGCGATTACTATAGAAATGATGAAAATGAAATTACTGGTACACAAGAAACAGCTGGTTGTGCTATTATGATGGAAATGCGTAAGCTTGCAAATCATCCGCTTTTATTAAGACACTATTTTGACGATGAAGAAGTTAAGGAAATAGCTATAAAATTAACAAAATCTCAAACATTCAAAGTTAAAAATCCTGATCATGCATTTGAAGACATAGCTTGGATGTCAGATTTCCAAATATACCAAACTTGTGAAAAGCATGTAAATAGTTGAAAATTAAAGATATAATGGAATAAAATTAGTGATACAATTCTTATTTTTTAGGGAATTTATGATGTTACCATTCCAAATGATTTAATTTTAAATTCCGGTAAATTTCGGGAATTGGATTCACTGTTACCTAAATTAAAAAAAGATGGCCATCGAGTATTAATATTTAGCCAATTTACAATGATGCTGGACATTGCAGAAAAATATTTATCAATAAGAAAACATCGTTATTTACGTTTAGATGGTCAAACACTTGTCACAGAACGTCAAGAGTTAATTGATAAGTTTAATAATGATTCGGATATATTTTGCTTCTTATTATCAACTAAAGCTGGTGGTATGGGTATAAATTTAACTGCAGCTGACACTTGTATTATACACGACATTGATTTTAATCCTTATAATGATAAACAAGCAGAAGATCGTTGCCATCGTATGGGGCAATCAAAGTCTGTAGATGTTTATCGTCTTATATCTATAGGTACAATAGAAGAAGCAATGCATCATATTGGTAACGAAAAATTAAAATTAGAACAACAACTTTCTGGTAGAGAAAATGGTAAACAAGAGCTTAAAAATATGGTTAGATTATTAACAATGGCATTAGGTATGAACGAACAGAAAGCTGAAACTTTATTATCACCTGAATTAAATAAAAATCTTAAAACAAACCGTAGAATACAAAAAGAAATTGAAGAATTTTAACTATGAATATCCAAAGGTTTTATTTTTCTGTACAATTTAATAACTAAGTAAATATTTTTTTATATTTTTAATATCTGGCATTATTTTATTCTTTATTAAATACAACTTCAAGATTTTGCTATATTATAGATTTTGCTAAAATAAAATAAGTGCGAAAAAAAATTAAAAATATTTTTCACACTAAAGTATTTGATTTAATAATAAATATTTTTTTTTATCGCAAGCACACTTGTCATGAAATTTAGGTAGTTTACAATTTTTAGTATGAAATGTATTTTAGTTTTTAAGGCACGTTTATTATTAAATATATCTAATTTAATCTACTTTAAGTTGTTTTCACAAACTATTTCAATCTAAATTATTTGTAAACTTAAATTTTATAGGAAGAAAATAAAAAAGTAAAATATTTCTGATAAAAAAGGATAATTAATTGTATACTTTATATGGTCATTCAAGCATTATTAGTAACTTGAGAAATGTACACTTAATATTTATCGGTGTGTTTTTGCTGTTAATATATTTTGTGAAAAATGTTGATCTACATTTGAATTTTATAGTTAAAATGAAAATGCAAATTTAAAGAACTAATACAACTATTCCAAATTGAAATATCAACAGTGACATATAAAGCCTCATGTTATTTCACCTAGATATTGAATTAAGTACATTTAATGTAATATTACTACATAATTTAGTTATTACGGGCAGATAGCTAAATTACGCAATGTTACACTGAAATTCTTATTCCAGTATTATTCTGAGAAACGAATCAATGAATTAGAGTGATATTTTTCATAAAATATTCAAAAACCTTATAAACGTAAATATTTTGTATGAACTAGTTGGTACTTACGATAATAATATCGAACTTTTTAACGGCAAAAATTGAATCACTTTGTGATTCGCTTTCTTGAATAAACTATACTAGTTACTGCTGTCAATAGAAAAGAAACAAAATATATTTAAATTGCAACCGTAAATTTAGAAATACAATTCATAAGTTTAACTATATTGTATCTAATACCGAATTATTGCAATTTTCAAATTAAGGTAATGTTTAAGGTTTAATGTAGGATTCCATTTGATTTTTTTTTTTTACTGGATTCCTATTGAAAATTTATTATGAATTTATTATTGACTATACAGGTTTTATAATTTAACCTTATACAGGTTTTATAAAGCTTAAAATAGTAACAAACACACCTATTATCATTTAATGCATTTGTTTTATAATTAGGTAGATTCATAATGAATTCACATAATTTAATAAAAGTACAAAAGGTTTTTTATATTCCAAAAAATTTATTGTTTCAAATTTGAATTTCATACTTTAAAAATTACAATTATTCTCTAATATTTAATTAATTATAACATCAATGAAATTATACAAAACAAATAATTCGATTGAATTAGTACGTGCCAAAATAGAACATATCAAAGAGTATTTTGCATACCAAAAGAAACACACTTTAATATTTTATTAAGTATATGTATACCCCTTGTTGTCATAGAATTGTCAAATTATTATTTTTTTTTATTGTTTTTAAAAACCATATTTGACAATTATAATTTTTTGTTATTGTTATTGTTCTTCTGATATTAGAACAAAATATATACTATTTTTTTTATTGCGTGAAAATGAAGTTTTTCTTTTTTATTTTAAATAAACAATAATTCTCATTATAATTAAGTTTTATTCTTATAAAAAAATGATTTAATATAAATTGAAATCTAAATATGTTATTTAGAACTAAAATACTCATTTTAAATTGTAAGGTAAGCCGAAATTTTTTTTTTAAATGGGTATTGAATTAAATTCTATAAAGTGCACATCTACTTTTACATATGCCAATAATATATGTATTATGTATATACATGTTTACATACTTACTATAAGTATTGAAAGTTCAAATTAAATTATTTTTGTTTTGTGTAAGATAAGAAAGTAAAATGATATGTGAATGACTAAGTATATGTGTATGTTATACGTATATATACTAACTATAATTTTAGAGTATGTATATTTGCTTGTTTTTAAAAAATATATTATAGTAGGTAGGTATACCTAATTAAAATTCTTAATAACTTTGAATAATCGTTATAAATTTTTTATAATTTTCAGATTAAATTGAATTTTATGTACTTAGAGCATTCTAAAGATTTAATCAAAATTATCATGTAAAATTTTTCAATAAACGATATACCTACATACGTATGTATATGAAATTGGGTAGGTAGGTGCCTACCTTCATATATCATAATGTATACATATTTATTGACTCATTTATTCCTATAAGAAGGACCCTATAAGAAATAAACATTCGATATTAAAAAAATTTCCTATTTGCATAAAAAATTTTTCAATTTGTTTTAAACAAATAAGAAAATTGTGAAATGTTCTTTTTATTGCTTGCATATTTTAAGAATATTTTACCTATTTAGAATGTATTTATAAAAAAAAGAGTTAGGTTCTCACTACATAGCCTAATAATCAATAAAATTGATTTTTATGTATTAAAATTAACATCTGGCAAATTTACAAATTCGTTTTCAATGAAATGCATTGTAGAATCTATCTATTTTGCTTAAATCAATAAATTATTTCAAATTATACTATTCAACCTTGAAATTTAAAAAATATAATATTTAAATTATTAAAATTTTTACTTAGTATAAAAGAAATTAATATTATTATAATAATAAAATTGCCACCGTAATTTACTTGGGGAGGTTGCTACATTGTACCAGAAACTATGTAGTAACCTACCTGATCTACTTATGTACATACATATTTTCTGGTAGTAGGGCCTACACATTTTGATAAATTGAGAATTTTGTTAAATTGAGAAAAATTTCAAAAGTCCAGTAAATAAAATTAATAATCTTATTGGGAAAATGAAATACCCATTAAAGAAAAGGAGAATTCTGATCTGAAAGTGAATGAAAAGTGAAATGAGATGTAAAAACGAGCTACACGATTAGTCTGTTAATGTATGTATGTATATAAATGTTCTTATAAAACCAAATGAATTCTTATAAAATCAGTAAAGATATGAAATTCTACTTATTTCGTATAAGCTTGTTGTAATTTAAAAATATGTATTGCTTTATAAGTAATAAATATTCTAATAAACTCCGATGTATCTAAAAATACATAATTATTTAATTAGTAATTGATTACGGAATTGTAATAATAACGTGTCGATACACAATTCAGGAATTGTCATTTATAAGCAGAAATTCGCATTAATACAGTATTATTGCAATTCCGAGATTGTCAAACGAAAAAATTAATGAATTTTCTTGAAATATAATATTTCAATTTTGCATTTTGTCAGCAAACGATACAGGAAATATTTCCATGAAACTTGATCCCAGGAATGATACCGCTTCTTAGACAACTTAAATAAAACAAATAAAATATACAAATTTTATAGAAATCATAATTAAAACAATAAAAGAATAAAATTTAGTTTAAAAATTTTGAAAAGAAATTAACAGAGATTTTTTTATCAGCAAATAATGACAAACATAAGTTAATTAAAAATACAAATAACATTTCCCTGACTCTCAATTATAGCTAAAATTTGTAATGCTAAGTTTTTGGTCGACTTACCCTATAAATTTTATTCTTACTAGATTTTATTGTATAGAGTGCAATAATCACTTATCATTATTGTAAAGTAAATAAAATTCAATCGCTTTATCATTATTTACAATAATAATATTTAAATTTGTTCAAGTGTATTTAATAATAAGTAAACCCGTTCAAGTATATTTAACAACAATTCTTTTCAGTACACCTAATAAAAAATAACATGCTTCTTTATGAGTTTTTATTGTCTATTTGAAGTATACACATATATTTTATTGTTATTTTAATATTATATTGTTCTTCTGAATATGTTACGAAAGTTCTTTTTATACTGGCCAAGAATTATTTGGTATTAATTAGTATTTTTTGTATTAAAAAATGTGTGTTGAAGATTTTTATTAAAATTTTATAAAAATCTCAATTGCATTTTCAGGATTTTAGAATTTCAGAATTTCAAGATTTCTTTATAAAATAATTTTAGAGGTTTTTTTATAAAATTTTAATTAATTGAATTTTATAATGCATACAATTTTTAAAATGCATTTTAGAACATGTCGATCTATGTATGCTTCAACCAAAAGGGTAAGTTTATTCTTGGAGAAATTGTAGAAGCTAATAATACATAAAGAATTTGTGTACTATTGAAAATTAATACAAAAGAATATTTAAACTTTTAAGAATAATTTTAATACATTTCAGAATAGTTCAAGTTTGTCGAAGGCTTATGATCACTGCACTAATAATTTTAATTAAAATTATTAGTAGCAATAAAATTCGATTAAATTTTCTTTTGAATTCGAAGAAATTACAAAAATCATTATATTATAGTAATTCGGAGATTCCCCTAGTAACACTGTGTAGATTTTTTAAAGCAATTTGAAGACTCTGCCAACAGCCACATTTAATAATTTCAGTCATTCATATTATTTAAATTTTCTTATTAATAATTTCGTTTTTTAAAAATATTTCAAAAGTGTTAAAAATATTTAAATTTTGCTCTTGCTATAATTTTTCTCTTTTTGCGGTCCATTGCATACAATAAGAGAGGTTATGTGATGGCACCATATTTCAGATGCCGAGTTTTCGGTGAGAACGCAGTTCTCCATAGTAAGGAAGCGTAAATAAACTGTTTTTAGAGAGATTTCGACCTATCGGTCTGTCTGTCTGTCTATGCGTGCGTGTATCTCAATTTCGGCTAAACCAATTCTAGATTTTTGCCTATATAAAGAGAAATAATCAACCAATTTCCTTGAAATTTACGATTTCAATATAGAGTGTTAAAACAATTAACTTATAAATTTTTTTGGAAAAGATGCGGCCGCGGAAACCAAATTAGGGGCCGATTTTACATTCTTTACTATAATTACGAAACTAATTGATGGAGTTTAATATTGGTGTTCTGGTTGTTACCGAAACTAGCTGGCGAACCCTTTCAGGGAATTCGAACGGCACGAAGCCAAACTCTATTAAAAATCAAATTTTCATTTTTCTAGGTATGTTAACTAAAAGCTTATTAGTTCCCTTAAAATTTTAAAAGCACGTTTAAACTGCATTTTCATAATCTTCTGTAACAATTTCACTGAACTAGACAATATACATTGCGTTCGGTTTAATGCTGGCCATATCAGTTTTTTTTATTTTATGAACAATTCAAACACTGACTCATCTTTTTAATACATAATTGAAATTTAATAGTTTATAAAAAGTTTCACTTTCATTTTCTTAAAACTGAGCGTCTCGTCTAATAATAAGAAATAAAAATAATTTTTTTTTTTTCGAAAGCTTCCCTCTTGATGCTTACAATTTATTCCCCTTCGTCGCTAAAAATTTTATTGGCAAAATTGAAATGATAACTTCATTTGCTTTGAACTGAACCGTAATTTAAATTAGAAGTAGGTACTTAAAAAGTATTAAAAATTTAAAAATTATGAAAAAAATAAAAAAGCAGAAATAAAATTTTCATTTTAAGTTTTCAATTGTAAAAATATTGAAGTACTTATTGGCTTTTCAAATTTTTATGTTGAAAAATTAAAATAAATTTTATAGTTAATGGATTTGTAGCTCTGTTCAATAATAATTTTTGTTTTATTTCTTATTGTACAAGTGTGTAATTAGTTAGTATTTCGATATTTGTTTGCCGTTCTTCTTTGTAAATTTATGATACGACAAGTGTTTTTTTGAAATCAAGGTTACAATTTGCATTTATTTAGTGTTGTTTTTAAAAATTTAATATTTTGAGGTTATATGACACATGTAATGACACAAAGTAAATTTCCTTGTGTTCCAAATTCTAAGCATATTTCTTAAATTAATATAAGTTATATATTATGTATTTGATGTTTGTTTTTCGTTTAGTAAGTAAATTTGAACAGTAAATTTCAGAAGAGAATGAACTTGAAAACACGACATTGTATTTCCAATATCATAATTTGACATTTTTGTTGTCTTACAACCCTATACAAAAACTTTTTTGCCATCGATCTTAATAATCGTTTTTAATCATTTAATTTCTAAAAGTCCTATAAAATTTTTAAAATCATTATTATCTACACATGTACTATGACATCAAGTGAATACAATTGAAGTTAGTTATGAACTCCAACGTGACATGACATACGCGTCATGAACTCCAATATACGTTGCCAACGTAACTGATTATTACTTTTGTTATTATATTTTTTTCATGTATTCCTTTAAAGGCTGATGTATAAGAGATTTTTATATGTGACAGAATGAATGACGAAGAAATTATTTTAATAATGAAATTTTAAAATTTCCCTTTAATTGAGATAATTTTTAAATAAATTAATTACGAAAATTGCTTAATCACAGATGATTGTTGATTTGCGAAATCAATCAATTGACGTGATTAACATGATCGTGAAATTGTTGACATACTGGGATCGTGAAATCTTTAACATACACGCGATTCCACTTCTATGTCAAAATTGACTGAATTAACTTCATAATTTGTAAAATTGTAATGTATAAGCCCTTAATCTCTAATTTTGTTCTTTAGAAATACAAACAACTGATTTACTAATTAATATTTGTCAAAAAAAAAAAAAATAAATTAATATAACTACTTTATTTAATTTTATCAAATAATTATTCGTTTTTTTTTTTGAAAAAAGTTTTCTAATATTTTGATAATTTTAAAAATTTAAATTATTATTTTAAA